TATTTATATTTGTGTAGCGTGCAATTGTTTTACTATTCTAAATTTGAATATTTGGATAGCCGAAAATAAGAATTTAAAATTTTAATATTTCTATTGAATATGATTAGTACAGGGAGATGATTATTAGATATTAACAGTGGTAGAGCCCGCTTTAACATCTTCGCACGAATTGACCCGGCTCGCCCGGTGAAATACCACGACCACACAGAAGACAGACGTGAAGTGGAAGCAATTCCGCGTTTTGTCTGATGAGTGTGCGTCCTGGAGGCCTAATTCAGTCCTCTTTCTCTTCCCACCCTTTTATATTCCATAAGGAAAGGATGGGAAGTAGAAGTGGACTTTCCGGATGAGAGCATGCATGGAAAGGGAAAATATTTTCTTTCTGTGCATCCTCTCCTCCGTCGATTAAAGGTAGGCAACGCATATGCAATTCCGTATGTCTATGGGCAACGGTCACTTCGCTATTTCAGCGATTTCATGTGGCCGCTCGCTCGTTTGCCACCTTATGATATAAAGAAATATTGCACACAGCACGTGACATGGAACCCAATTTAATTTGGTCTATATTAATATTTAGACCTCTAGACTACATAGTCAATAAACAAATCAGGAGATTTTTTGTTCTGTCATCTAGTTTAAAACTGTTGACATTATTTCTTCGAGTCGTGGGTCGCTGCGCTACGGAATATGTAAATTGTAAATACTCCACATACTTCGATTTCATGTATATATCATTGATATTGTAAATCAAAATGGTAAGAATTATGATGAACATACTAAGCAAAAGGTTACACTAACCAAATTATTTCACAATGAATTGTCCAGGTCAGTGACACCTTATGATTGGTCCCTAAAAGAAGCCGCGGACGAGAGCGAAAGCGTGCCCGTGGTCCCGTCCCGATGCCTTGGAGGAACAGAGGGGTTTAGTGGGTATGCCTCCGCTATGGAGGAGAATCCCACATAACTACCGCGTCCCCCCCGGGGCGCGGAGTATGCATAAAGCATTCCCCTCTGAAAAAAAAAATGGTCCCTAAAAGAAAAAGAAACTCAAAAAGACTAAACATAAGTATCTCTTAGAAGAAAGTTGAATATAACTTAAAAATGCGAGCGCCCATATAATACATTGTGATTGTAATTGTCCCGAATTTAGATGCAATGTCCCATCGACTCCAAACTGGAAGTATACCAATGTATTTGGCGAGAGCTCATCTCGCCTCTCAGACAAAACGTTGAACTCAATATGTGAGCATCCGGCACAGTTGCCAACTCTTGTCACCCTCCCCTCTTCCCGCATGGGGACATGTTAGGCAAGAGGCGTGCCATTGGTAACGAATACGAAGTCTTGGCAGGGACGCCTCTTGGCAAACGCTTGGCAACTCGAGGCGTAGTAACGTATCCGTTTTTATTTTGTTAGCTAGAGCGTACTAAGTTGGGATCAACCTACATTCACTAAATTAATGAATATAAAATTAGGTTATGAGATTGTTTTGCTTCTTGCGATGCGTAGAAAGTCGTTTATGGAGGCAATTGGTCGTATTCTTATAGTTCTTCTTTATTGTTTTGGCTTCACTATATCTTTAGAACTTTTCACTTCTCAGATTTAGATAATTTAATTTGGTAAGAATCTTTTAAAAACTGCTTTATATCTGGTGCATTGCTTCCTTCCACTTCGCTGTATTTTTCGTAGAAATATTCCACGGGTGCGGTGTGAGGAACACGTTCAATACGTATGTTCAATATTTAAACATGACAGTCAACAATCAGATATTAGTTTAACAGTTAAACAAATACCTTTAAAAGTTATGTACAAAGCCAATAGCTACCCGATCTCTGTGTCCACTAAATCACGATCCACACAAGAAGCCGTCGAACGTTTTAACTTTAAGAGGATGAAAGATGAAGTTGTTTGTTTTGGTGTTAGCCGCGGCAAAGGTCTAATGGCTCGGGCGGCCCCCGGTAGCAAACTTGGACCTTTCCTTTATCTTTTATGCTAACTATGAGCAATAACGCACGGGTGAAAGCTTAAAGCCCGCTTTAAGTTTCTTAGCATTTGTTTTTATTCGTGTATCGACCACCAAGGAGACTGCATATTTTTACGATGACGTTCTCGATAACAATGTTGTAAGAAGATTATAAGGAATAATACATATTTGATTATTTTCTACTATTGCAGTTATATTGTTATTTCGTATTCATTTACTTTCTTAACCGTAAAGCTGAATGCACATGATTTTTAGTAGTCCTTGAAATTATATAATTTTATACGTAACATTTGTGGTTTACAAATTCTTGAAATGAAATCTGATTTAAAAATCATTTAAAATTCTATTGCAATGTTTAATCGAACAACTCCAATACATGATTATTAAACATTCACTTTATATGACTTATTATGACTAACGACAATAATGTTTACATAAGAGCTACTTCTAACACTACATCAAAACGTCATGGAATGAGGTCGAGAACTAACTTTGACTCATTACATTCTATGTCGATTTAAAAAAAATAACATTAACGAGTAATCGACTAACAAATCGATGTTAAAAATAAATCAATAATACCAAAACCAAAATATAAAGAGAAATAACACACTAGAGTTCGACATCGACCTAACTCGATATAAGCTAGAAATCGAATAATTAAATCTATATTATAATAAAACTTTTTTAAAATTAAAAATTAACAAAATTAAAATATAACCAACCCAAAGCTTGAATAAGCAAAGATTAAGATTTCAAACAACAAGATAGACCGTTATCGATGAGGCTCGCAATAATTCACGTGAGAAAACCAACAGAATGGCTTCGTTAAGAGACTGGAGGGCCTCTCGGCCTTATTGTGCTGATGTCAGGTCCACCATGACAGCATTGAAGTGGCCACCGAAGCGCCAAAATGTTAATGAGACATCTTAAGAACATCGATGGCCATTGATACACTGTTTGACACATAACATGCATAAATTAATGAACCCACAATACTGTATTTTGTTTATATTACTTCACCAAGTAAAAAATAACGATAGAGGCTTCACTATAGCTATATTGATGCATAATCATAATATTTAGAAATTAAAGAATACTTTCTAAATATTTATCAAAGATAATATGGACCATTTTAAGTCGAGTTTAACATATTTTTATTTATCTAATAGCAGTCGCTTGCTACTGCATCAGCACGGAATTAAAAAAAAAACATAATTAGTAGGCTACAAATTCTTCCAGACTATGTTCAATATGTATGCCAAATTTCATGGAGATCCTTTCAGCCCTTTTGGATATACATCTAAACATTCCCATTTATAATAGTAAGATTTGACAATCGAAAAGATATACAAAGTACTGTACTTAAAAGTTAAATCTATTTTTCTTACCTCTTTACCCTAGTTCACCCGTCAACCTTTGTAATTATCAGCATTTCATACATCTCGTTGAGATCTTTTACCAGAAAGTACTGGCATTAAACTCAGAGATGCTGTCAGACGCCTGTTGACCCTGCGACCTCGCAATCTCACGCACATACTTGCGAACGTCTGCCTTTATAATCGCGAGCACTGTGATATCTATAAAACGAGAAATAAAAAAGAAATTTGAACACGAAATGAGTGACTGTGTAAACGACGAATGATAAATCGATTTGGAAGACGTAATTATTGTGCTGATACTACATAATGTTGGAGAAAGACAAGAATATGACGAACGTCACGAAACGACGAACGTGAAGTTGAGAACGTCAAGAAAATATTGCATCAAGTAAAACAATCATAAACAAATCGTCATTTTAACAGTGGCAGAGCCCGCTTTAACATCTCCGCACGAATCGGCCCGGCTCGCCCGGTGAAATACTACGACCACACAGAAGACAGGCGTGAAGTGGAAGCATTCTGAGTTTCGTCTGATGAGTGTGCGTCTGGGAGGCCTAATTTAGTCCTCTTTCCCTTTCCACCCTTTTTCTCATAAGGAAAGGATGGGAAGCGGAAATGGACTTTCTGGATGAGAGGATGCATGGAAGGGAAAAATCTTTCTCTGCATCCTCTCCTCCGTCGATTAAAGGTAGGCAACGCGTATGTCTATGGGCAACGGTCACTTCGCTATTTCAGCGATTTCAGGTGGCCGCTCGCTCGTTTACCACCTTATGATATAAAAAAAAATAGACAGAGAAGTCATGATAGGTTACATTTGAAACATTTAATTAGATTTATAGACAAGTTAGTTTAATTAACTAAATTGTAATCAAATATTTGATGAAAGAATGTAACAATGATATCATCAGCAACAAAATAACAAGCATTAAATACTTGTTTGTTAAACTATGATCCGTTTTAAAAACCAGTCCAATACGCAATCATGATAGAAAGAAAACGTGACGTTGGCCCGTTGCTCAAAAACCATCCATCCAATTCGAATTGATAAAAAATAAATTAAAATAAGCATTGGACGAGGCACAGATGATATCGACACCGGTGCATTGTGGCACGGACGTGGTAGCCTCTAATTGCGGTCCCTTTGTTATTCAAAATGAGGTGTTAGCTCTTCTATTAAATAATAAGTAGTTTAATTCAGCTACAAGATCGATACATTTATTTTTAGATAAGAAAGCGGTTAGTCGACGATGTCTTTTCAAATGGGATGGGTTTTAACTTCGGCTACAAGTATATATACATGAATTCATATTTTAAATACGCTTGTCAATCAAATGAATTTGATTAACGTGTTTTCTAATATACAAACTTTACAAATATAGATTCGATATAAAATAATAAATCTCGTACTATGTTTTTTGTAACTAGCAGTTGCCCGCGACTCTGTCCCAGCGGAAAAAATAGATTATAAGTAGCCTATGTGTTCTTCCAGATTATGTTCTATATGCCAAATTTCATCGACATCCCTTCAGCCGTTCTGAAGATACCTACAAACAAACATCCATCCATCTAAACATTTGTATTTATAATATTAGTAAAAAGTAAGATAGATTACTAATTGAATTTTATTTTGTTACAGATAATAGAAGATTGCGTATGGACGAAAGAAACAACCGTAGTCCAAGAGAGGCGTCATCGCGCGCTATTTGGACAGTAAAAAATGTTTGGAATGAAAGCTTTAGTTCCATCAAGAGAGATTTGTTGGAATCTAAATTGACTGATACAATCAAATATTTCTTCAACACGAAAGTCCAAAATGTTCCGAACGCCAATAAAGAAGTTAATACTGAAATTCTTCATACAGAAACTAGTGATATTAACATCAATCGTCTTATAGCAAACGAAGTAACAAGAAATAAAGAAGAGGATGCTTTAAATGATGAAGACGAAGAAGTCAGAAAGAATGTGTGGAGCGATGTTGATGATGAACTATACATAGCCAATTTAATTAAACTAAGAACTTCAAATGAAGACAAACGTGTGAAACGTGATATTAGTGCTCACATAAGTGTTAGTGATATCGGAGCTAAGGTTGTGAATAGTGTTAAGTTAGATTACGAGATGTGGGAATTAGAACCGACGGATCTAACGGAGTGTGACTGTCTCGGGCCACCGCCGGAGTTCCTACTGCCACCGCCACCACGACCACCATTCCTGCAAGCTGAATACTACTGTGGAGATGATCCAATTCCTGATCTTGAGACATGCGACACAGAACCAGTAAGTAGACTTTACGTACATTGCATCTTTAAGATTTTTTCACACTACCACACAACACCAGTAATCCCATGATCATGGTGCATGCATCTGTGCAGAAGAATAGGAGCTCAAATAGATTAATCTTGGTAAGAATCCGGTATCTTACGAACAGTTAACGTATTAAGCTAAGTTGTGTAGCAAATATTTATGATCTAACCAAAACATGTCATAAATAACAAATAGCTAAATTGCGTTTCATTAAGAACGTTATAAAAGTAGTCGATTAGGGATGTGGAAACAAATACAGAGGTTAACAATGTTTTGAGTTACGAGAGGGAAAAGGAAGCTTGGTAATTGGAATATTAGTTATGTCAATAACAGAACCGCTACAGTTAACTACAGTTTGTCATAATTTTATTTATCGGTTTCAAAGGATAGAAATGGATAAGTAAATCGAATTTTTAAAATAATGGACAACAACATTTGATGCATTTCCCCTTATTTTTATAAAATGATTCATTACCCAATTTTAAGTCCAAAGATCGTAGTTTCGATAACTTAATATTTCTAACATCGGCTATAGATAAAAATACTTTGTAAGGAATTTGGGGTGCGTTAATCTTTTTTAATACTCAGGTAAGCGGAACGATTCGAAACACAAACAATTTCCATTGTTTTCGTTAAACATTTAAAAGCCCCTACCAGGTTAGAATCGAAAATTTCTTATCTTTCGAAAGCGTTTCACGTTTTGTTCTAAAAATGGGTAATGAATAAACTACGCGCTCTTATCTGTTCGAGTAAATATTTGATATGCGGGTCCTTAATGAAGCCGTGGCATTTACAATGCGTATTATCTTAACATCTCTAAGTTTTTTACGAGTGTAAAGAGACCTTTCTCTGGCAATTCGTTTGACATGTTTCCATGAAATGATGAGGCTATAGAAATAACGGTTCACAGTGAGATTTTAGTATATATGTGTAATACTAACATTGATGTTACTTATCTTGTTTGTTGCCCAACTCGTAGTCGTAATTTTGAAATGCTCATAATACGGTGTATGCTTTTTAAAGTTTACTTTTAAGATTATACGTAAAATACACAGTAATTTGACTTTATTTAAACATCACGATTCATATAGACTACAGTAAACATGAAGCGAACGAAAAGAGAAACTAGTATAATTTTATAACCGTGCGTCTCCACTGCCAAGAAATTTGTGCCTTCACGACCCTCATAATAATTTGGAAAAAATGTATTAAGTTCCCGACGAAAATCCGACACTGTGCCGGTGTACTGGCAACACTAGCCTAACTAAAATGTCGACGTTTATATCCCCATACTAATCATTCTTACACTTTACTTTGTAACGGAAGCGCGCCATTCGCGCCAAAGGATTTTAACTAATAACGTCTAGAACTAATACAAATGCTACAGTGTGGATGGATGGATGGATGTTTATTAGAAGTTGGAGGATGTAAGGATGTAGAAAAAAATCTGAAAGGTCGCACAGGCTATTAATTATTATTTAATTCCGCGCGGACGGAGTCGCGTGCGACAGCTATATTTAATAAACTCTTGCAATTGTGAAATAACCACCAACGACGTTTGATCTTCCATCGGTAACACAAAATATATTTCATGAATGTATTTTTGTTACTAATAACTTTTGTATGTCTGTCTGTTGTCTGTCCGTGTTTGTTCCTGGTAACCTTCTAAGCTGGTAGACCGATTTTAACCCGAACTTTAACTGGATGATGACTCATGTAAATGTAAGAGTAACATAGGCATTTTTTTAATTCCGTGCTGACTAAAACAACCGTTAATCTTCCCATAAACTAAATGTCTTTATAAAAACATTCCTCAACGCCAATTAGCATTTCCACGAACTAGATCCAATTTCAAATTAATATCTTAATTTAGTCATCTAAATCGTGTTTGCGTTTTATTTATCGATAACTTACCCACTGTAGAACATTCTGCGGTCGGCTTGATTGAGACATCCAAGGCGTTGATATTAACAAGGTAATAAATGAATTAAAGAACACCCTGTGCTAATAAGCAAGTCGGCCACAGTGGGTGTTCCATGATGACTAACTTCGTCACGCTACCAAGAAACGATGAGTAAGAAACTATGCGATTTTTTATACCTCTTTAGTATTCATCGGCTTGTGATACTTCAATAATGATTTGATATAAAAACAATTTTTTTATTAATATGTATATTAAACTAGCTGTTGCCCGCGACTTCGTCCGCGAGGATTAAAAAACTTAATAAATTATGTATTTAATAAATTTAAATTTAATCAAGATCCATTGAGCAGTTCCGGAGATACCTACAAACAATCCATTCATCTAAACATTCACATTTATAATATTAGTAAGATTTAAAATTCATATATCATGAGTTTCTTTCGTAAGAATAGATGAAAAACACGTTATAGTAAGACAAAACTTTCTTAGTTGCTTTACAAAGGAGAATTTAGATTGTATTAATTAAACAAACAAAATTAAAAGTAATCTTATCTCGTGTCTTTAATTTCAATCTAAAAAAACCTCAAACCGAGCTTTTTAAAAATAATCTTTTAAATAACAAAATTATCTCGTCTTAATCCAGCTTAAAAAGCCAAAAGCGAGGTGTTTTAAACATTTTTAGCTTTACGTCCTTTATAAGGACCATGAATATTTATTATTCAGACTTACCTATTAGTAGAAGGAACATTGTCGGAGTGTTCTGTTAACAGAAAGCAAATTAAAATGTCTAATAAGCCCTAAATGTACTTTAAAATGGGTCTCGAAATGTTCCCCTGGAGCGCACCTAAAACGATCAACCACCCGCTTTTAAAGTACCAAGATAAAAGTTATAACATTACTAATTCGTGCTGAGACATCTTAAAAGACAATGAACCTTGTTTGGTATACTCTCATATAATTGTTAAGGATGATACAGCGAGAATAGATGTTTAAAATGTGCATATTTAACTCGGGTTACATTCCTTATGTTTTGTTTTTTTCAATGGACACGCTTAAATTAAGCTACATAAAAAGTTAACACACCTTCATTTTTAAATGCTGTGTAGCCGATTTAATACAGATTATAACTTATTTCTTTATAATATAATTAAATATTAATCCACGTGAAGGATAAGTCTTTAAAAATTGTATATTTTTGCATAAAATGTTTTGATTTAACCAGTGTTATAAATACGAAAGTTTAGATAGATGGATGTTTGAATACTCGTATATCTCCGGAACGGCTCAATAGATCTTGATGAAATTTGGCACAGTTGTAAAACATAGTCTGGTAGAACACATAGGCTACTTATTACGTTTTTTACTCCGCGCACACGGAGTCGCGGGCGTTAGCTAGTGAATTAATTAACAATTGTGTCCTTAATTGTGATTCAACAAAAAATTATGGTCCATAATTAAAGACTTACACAATTCCTTTTAGTTGACTTTTTTATTAATTAATGCTGGGTCATTGACAAATCGGCCACCGTCTTAAGATGGACAGTTTGATAAATTTCGGGCACGGCACATTTTGAATGTTGTCGTTTCGAAGACGTATTTTTTTTACGTCCTATATTGTTGTATAGAGATTTTACGATACACACCGATTAATCGTTCAACGTACGATGACGGATATCGTCTCAGATAATGCCAGATTATGACAAATTGACGTATTCTGTAGTCAGCCTAAATGTTCTATTGTAGAACAGATCATTTTGATAACGCTATTATGTTACGATATTAAATGATATTTATTGAGCAAATTATACATGCCAACTAGCTGTCGCCCGCGAATCCGTCCGCGCGGGATTAACTATAGATGTTGGCCGATTCTCCGACCTACTCAATGTGATCTAAAATTTCATGAGAATCGGTCAAGCCAAAATATAAGATAGAAATATCGCTAGTGCAAGTTCAAGGTTCAAAAACAAACTTTTATCCCAATGTTAAAAGTATGTTCAATTACTATAAGTAAAATATAAAATTTAAAAACAAAAAAGAACTATAGGATATTAAAAAAGCAAAACTTGTAACGTGTATCGAATTCGAACTCTATGATAGCTATCTCCCGCGACTCCGCTCGCTCGGGTTTTAAAAAAATAATTAGTAGCCTATGTGTTCTTCCAGATTACGTTCTGTATGCATGCCAAATTTCATAGAGACATCTACAGCCATTCTCGAGATACATTCAAACAAACATCCATCCATCTTAACATTCGCATTTATAATATCATTAAGATTAATAAGATATTTAACTGAAATAGAAAACCGTTCCCGAATTTTCTGAAATACAAGTATTCGTTACCCTGTGACATTATTTACGATTCCTGTCACGTAAAATAAAAATGTGCAAGAATGCTCGCATACGCTGTTTGACTCAGAAAACCACCGTGTGATAGCTGATTTATTTTTTCTTTTGCCCTTATAAGGACACCTTAGGGACTGACTGTAGTCAACTTTACTTATTCATCATCTGTTCTTACCATTGTTCCTGAATTGCTCTCTACAGATCGAAGCTTTGCGAAGCGAACATAAGCGTCGGTGGCTCAGAGGCTTAAGCATTTGACTTGTTAGCAGATCCTGGGTTCAAATCCGATATTTACCAGTGTGTTTTTAGATTTTTCATTTACATACATTTACCCGATGTTCTTACGGTGAAGGAAAACATCGTGATACAACCTGTACATATCTGCAAAGAAAATCAAATATATATGTAAAGTCAACCCGCACTAGGCTAGCGTGGTTGACTGTCCGAGTTACCTCTAACTTTTTGTAGACTCCGAACCCCACATTAGGAACGTTTAGTGAGCTGATAATGACACAACAAATGTCATGAATTTTTGATTATTTTTCACGACTAGCCAGCCAACGGCTTCGTCCGCTTGATGACGAATTAGAAAGCCACAGCTCCCTTTATTTTAGGGGTTTTATTAGTGGAAACGCACCTTTAAATAAGACTTTTTTCCGCTTCGCACATCATTTCCACTACTAAGCAATACATAAACAAACAGCACACCCTAATTCGATAAAATCTATCCAATTACTGAATATAATAATTCTGTCCCTCCACCCCCCGACTACCCTCACTAATTGCGTTCGCTGCGTTGCGTATAAATGTTTTTATTATAGAAAAACATTATTCCACCCTCGCGTCTAGCGTTCTATACATTTTTGTGCTGATATCTTGAAAATAATCAGCACTGCTTGCGTTTTATCTATTCTTTTTTATCGTTCAATTATTATGTGTTGACAACCCTAACTTAATACTTTCAGGATTCGATTTAATTCGAAATTATTGTAATTAACATAAGTGAATGGTTTGCTTCATATTATAGCTTAAAATATAATTTGGTACATATTAATAATAATATCAATAATGACTAACCGTGGGTTTCTGAGTCTTTTTTTGTCAAAGATAAAACAGGGATGACAATATTTTTAATAATAAAATCTTTTTATGATACTTAGTTTAATATTTTATTGTAATCACATGACTCGTCTCCGAGTTTTTTTTTATTTCATAAGGTGACAAACGAGCGAGCGGCCACCTGAAATCGCTGAAATAGCGAAGTGACCGTTGCCCATAGACATACGCAATTGCATATGCGTTGCCTACCTTTAATCGACTGAGGAGAGGATGCACATAAAGAAAATATTTTCCCTTTCGATGCATCCGGAAAGTCTTTTGGTTATTAAAATCATAATGGCATTGAACGTGTTAAAACAAAAGACTTGAGATTTTGGTTTCCATTTTGTTTTAATTTAACCAGGGTATCCGTTTCTAAACTAAGGTAATTTTAAACGACTTTACCTTTAACGTATCTTGTTAGTGAAAAAACATATATGATGTAAAATACATATAAAAAGACTAACATAATGGTTATACGTGCCGTTGTCTCACTGTTATTACTGGGGGAGACAAAAAGAATATAATGCAACCACTTAGGGTTGAAAGGGAGGGGCGAAAAAATTATATGAAATGACCCTTTTTTTTGTCAGACATTCGAGTATTGCGTGACTATTGCACGGAAAATATTAATATATTAAACACCTACCCCTCAGAAATTTCGTAACAAAAAATCTATCAAGTTATTATTCTATGGCGTGTAGTGGTTTGGGGTTGTAATTAACACTTTATTTTTTCTGACAAGCAACTGTTAGATATGAACCCTGACGAACACTGGAAAGTTATCAACTAAGGAAATTGTAGTCAGCAAGCTTACTAATATTATAAATGCGAATGTTTATATGGATGGATGTTTGTTTGAAAGTATCTCAAGAACGTCTGCGTGGGTCTTACTAATATTTGACACAGATGTACAAATAATCTGAAAGAACATATAGGCTACTAATTAAGTTTTTTTTTTCTGCGCGGACTAAGTCGCGGGCGACAACTAGTTATAAATTAAACCGTTGAAAGTGCTCATATGACTAGAAACTATTTTATTAATAACAATTTAAATTGATTTTTAAATTTAAAACTAATCCTACCAAACATGCCGCGCCGTGGCAACATCGAGTGTCCGCCTTAACGTTGCCTCGCTGTAAGCAACACATACACCAAAGTGGATAAATTCCAGATTGATTTAAAAGTGTCTAGCTTATGCCCGCAATTGCTTAAACGCACAGTTAAAAAAATATAATTAGTAGCCTATGTATTCCTTCCAGACTGTGTTCTATATAAATATCAATTTTCACCGAGATCCGTTCAGTATTCATCCAAACATTCGCATTTATAATTTTATATTAGTAAGATATAATATATATAACCTTTATTTCAATCTTTTAAATTCTTTTGTGCGTCCCGGAGGCCTAATTTAGTCCACTTTCCCTAACCCCCCTTTTTCTTATAAGGATAGGATGAGAAATGGAAGTGGACTTTCCTGATGAGATGATGCATGGAAAGGGAAAATAATTTCTTTCTGTGCATCCTCTCCTCCGTCGATTAAAGGTAGGCAACGCATAAGCGTATGTCTATGGGCAACGTTCACTTCACTATTTCAGCGATTTCAGATAGCCGCTCGCTCGTTTGTCACATTATAATATAAAAAAAGTCTATTGAAATGTTTCACTAAAAATTGGCACGGAACTTACAGACAAATTAGCTCTTGTTATGTTATAAATGCCAATGTTCGATACAGTGTCAAGGAAAAAGTCGATAGTGTAACAGAGTGCTAAGTTTGATAAATCGGCAGAACAATCGTATAGTCGTGTCAGGACTGTTGGAATTGAGCCAAGTATTTCCGAATTGAATTATTTGAAGCCATTGATACATTCCCTTTGATTAATTTTGTCCGAAGCTTTCGTCTTGTGTTTGATACACTGAATGATAGTGTTTGTTATCGGATAAAGATATTAGAAGCGACTTTTTATATTATTTTTTTTTATTGTAAAGGAAAAGAAAGAAAGAAAGAAAAGTTTTTATTATAGGTAATACAGATTAAACCAAGAAACAATAAATAACATAGTAAAATTGCAAATAACTAAGAAATTAAATTAGACTTAAGTTACCATTTATGGTTAATTTGGATAATCTAGTAAAGGGAGAAATAATACAATAGAATCTAAAAGAAATTGCAGTTTGTTTTTTTTTATTTGACGCTCATAAAGCTGAGTAAATTATATTTTTTCAAATTACTATTGGAAAAACTTCAATATCTGTTTTAAAAAAAAACACTTTCATTTTGACACTTTTTACTGCATTAAAACCACAAATGTCAAGGGCGCAAGCGATTCTAGAAAATTTAATAAAAGCATTATAAGTTTTTTTTTGTTCTCGTCAGCGCATTTTTAGGTCGTACTTGTATCTGAAGCGGCATTTTAGAGCTCCGGGCGCACGGTACTCGATTGAATCGGGGTCGGAGCTTTTCGTCGGTTACTCCATGCGTTTGATTCGGCCCTCTTCAATTTATTCGTTAACCATTCGAGTATTGTATGCGGTTGAATTTTATGCGTAGATTTTGTTATTTAGTTATAACGGGTGAGGACACTTAATCAATTATCCAGTTTTATATGTGAGCTCTAAATAAAGTTTATATTATAAAAAATACACTAATCCAGTGACGAGTAATACGAAGACGGTTGTAATAAATATTTTTAAATAATGAAATTTAAATTTAGTAGCCTTTGTGTTCTTCTAGCCTTTAATTCTGCATTTATGCCAAATTTTATCAAGATCCGTTGAGCAGTTGTGGAGATATCTTCTTACAAATATTCATCCATACATCCATATCTTCATTTATAATATTAGTAAGATTTCCTTTGTTTATATTTGCAGAAGATAGACGCGTACAATCACAGCGGGCCGTCGTTCCAGACGTCAGCAGTAATCGCTCTCTGCTCTGTCGTGCTTCTTGTTGGTGTACTCGTTGGCGCTGTCCTTGTCTGGAAGTAAGTTTTCTTTATATACTTAGTCAAAGCTTATATATATTCTTACTATGTAAAGAAGGAACCATGATATATGTTAAAATATTGTTCATTGAATCATTTTCATACACTGTAATACAATTTTAAAAAAATGTTTGTTTTAATTTAATTGACAGTAGGCATAGGCATTAAAAACATAAATCTGAACATACGATGAAGCCAAACAATGATTTAGAAATGACATACGCAATTGCATATGCGTTGCCTACCTTTAATCGACGGAGGAGAGGATCCACAGGAAGACAATATTTTCCCTTTCCATGCATCCTCTTATCCGGAAAGTCCACTTACAATTTCCTTATGAGAAAGAGGTTGGGAAGGGAAAGAGGTCTAAATTAGGCCTCTGGGACCCCACACTCATGAGACTGCACGGAATAGCTTCCACTTGACGCCTGTCTTCTGTGTGGTCGTGGTATTTCACCGGCCTAGCCGGGACAATTCATGCAAACATGTTAAAGCGGGCTCTACCACTGTTAAATAATTTATAATATTAATAAAATTTACGATATAGAACAACAATAAATTACGTCACAATTACGTCATAACAAAACACGATCAAAATCTGATCTCGTACATTAATTCTAAATGAGCCGTGACGTCATATAAATTCTCTCACAACAAGCAACAATAACATAAATTCAATTAAACAGCATCCATAATAAATCATTCGGATAACAGTTGAGAGGGAAATTTTCACAAATTAGCGGCCGACGAACGTAGAAACGACGTCGCACTGCCCCTGACAGTTTAATTGACGTTAGAAGACAAACAGAGGACATTTACACTTGTCTGTTTGTTCGTTTGATTTATTGAAGTGATCGTTTCTGTTGTTTGATATGCAAAACTATTGTAAACTAGCTGTCGCCCGCGACTCCGTTCGCGTGGATATATAAAAAACTTAATTAGTGTAGCCCACCCATCCATCCATCCACATCACATCCATCTAAACATTCGCATTTATAATATTAGTAAGTTAAATAAAAAGCAGCTCTTCAAGGCATAAAAAATGAATAAATAGTATCCTATGTCCGTCTCCTGGCTCTATGCTACCTCCTCAGCAATTTTCAGCCATATCGGTAAAGCCGTTCTTGAGTTATTACTTTCTTTTATATCTTAGAGCCAGGAGACGGACATTTTTTTTTTTTTCGAATTTATGCCTTGAAGAGCTGCTTTTTATTAAACTTACTAATATTATAAATGCGAATGTTTAGATGGATGGATAGGTGTTTGAAGATATCACTAGAACGGCTGAACGGATCTCGATTAAATTTGGCATACGTATAGAACATAGTCTGAAAGAACACATGTGCTACACTAATTAAGTTTTTTTACATACCCACGCGGGCGGAGTGGCGGGCGACAGCTAGTTTACGATATTTTTTAGCGTTACCATAAGAGGTTAAGTCTGTTGGAGCAGACAGTCTTCAAAATTCATCTTTTTATGACATTTTATTTAATTTTAACATAACAGAATAGTTTCATTTTGTATGCTAACGTTAAATTTGCGCTCATTACACGCTGTGAATGGCACCAATTGTGAAGTTAACAAATTTCTGAATAAACAGCAAATACGTATTCACGTACGGTGATTTCAAGAATTAGTTGTGAACGTGGAAGCGTCGACAGGGTGCCACTGACAGTTTAATCGCCGTTAAAACCGTCGTCACACGTCGCCCTCGGAGGCAATGGCTTGAGAAAGTTGATTAGAGTGGCTGTCACCTAGTCGGGATTTAATCCCGGTGTTAAATATTGTATTCAACTTGGAAGATGTAGCGGCAATGATGTGGAAAACATTTTATTGCATCATTTTCTTATCTCTTTAAATCAGTTTTCGGTCAACTTGATTTCGATTGACATTAACATTATTAACGGCATGATAAATACTGGGAATCTTACTAATATTATAAATACGAATGTTTGGATGTATATATAGATGTTAGAAGGTATCTCCAGAACGGCTGCATAGATTTTGGCGAAATTTATCATAGATTTAGAATAGTCTGGAAGAATATATAATACGAATGAAGTTTTTTTTTAATCCTAATGTTCATTTTGTATAGTATACCATACATACAACTTTATAAAAATATACGATCACTATAAAATAATTTTTAACTTAGTTTTATTAAACGCATGACATTTCTAGACGTTTTTTTGCTTCTCTTCAAAAAAGAAATCTTTTCACAATAAGGGTTAATTCCGCGCGGGCGGAGTCGCTGCCGACAGCTAGTAGTAGTACGTACTAATGATCTTTAGAAATGAATTTTGCAAAAAATATGATTTAAAGCACATCATATATTTCACGTCTGCTGTTATTTTGCTTTATGTCTAGATTTCTAAATCTTGTTTACTTTTGTGTTTTTTTTTATTCCATAAGGTGGCAAACGAGCGAGCAGCCACCTGAAATAGCGAAGTGACCGTTGCCCATAGACATACGCAATTGCCTATGCGTTGCCTTAAGCAAATATTTTCCCTTTCTATGCATCCTCTCATCCGGAAAATCCACTTTCACTTCCCATTCCTTATAAGAAAAAGGGTGGGAAGGGAAAGAGGACTAAGTTAGGCCTCCGGGACGCACCCTCATCAGACGAAAAGCGAAAATGCTTCCACTTCTCGCCTGCCTTCTGTGTGGTCGTGGCATTTCACCGGGCAAGCCGGGCCAATTCGTGCGAAGATGTTAAAGCGGGCTCTACCACTGTTTACTGGTTCTTTTTGTTACTGTAATATATTTTTCAATAAATGTTTTGTATTAAATCCGCTACCGCTATCTCTTATAATTTGTATCAAATGCATTGCTTTAATTATAGCCGTCACAATATTCTCGCCGCCGCGTTACGGCCAGTTTGAGGAGGTCGGATTTAGGTATATGTTACACATGTGATAAGCGTCCCATAGTGACTAATGTTGATTTAATTAAGCATTCAAAACGAAGATAAGATAATCAGGGGCCGGTTGGAAAGTTTATAAATTGGGCAATTATTTGTGTATCAACACATCGGGATAGTTCCCCTTTTGGTTCGATCTCACCGACTCGGCATTTGTTTATATTTATTTGTGTACAGATAACATCACTAAGTTATTTTTGTGGGTAATCAGTTACATAAATCCTTAGACTATTTTATTGGTTGAATCTTTTTTTTTTGATAATTAATTAGGTTTTAAAAAATGTGTAGTGACATTTCTTGTCTACGTTTACTTAGATTATAATTACAGTGACTTGACTTCGTCAAGAGCGTCGGTGGCTCAGTGGTCGAGCACTTGACTTGCAATCTGCAGGTCCTGGGTTCGAATCCCTCCATGTACCAATGTGTTTTTCGATTTCCGATTTACATATGTACATTTATTCGACGTTCTTACGTTGAAAGAAAACGTCGTGATGCAACCTGTACATATCTGAGAAGTAATTCAAAGATATGTGTGAAGTCAACCAACCCGCACTTGGCCAGCGTGGTTGACTATGGCCTAATCACCCTTAACCGAGCCCCTCGGTGGGGACGTATAGTGAGCTGATGATGATGAATTGACTTGATTTACCTTAGTAAGCTTCTCCCAAGCTATAAGTTATTTGGTTGAATGCTATCTGTATCTTTCACATTAAACGAATTATTTGTATTTTTTATAACGTAGTAAAAATGTTTCAAATCGTCTGCATATGTTGTACTATCGAGGAATCTGGTGATATTCTACCTTAAAAGCTACAGTCGTCTCGATAAAACAAAGCTTTTAAGTATGTACTTATAGACATTATTAATTATAAAATTCTTTGGCGCAAAAGACGTGCTTTCGTTACAAAGTCTAGTGTCAGAATGAATGTCGAGGGGACACAAACGTCGACATTTTATTAAGGCTAGTGTTGAGTCAATACACTGGCTCATTTGATTTTCTTCCTAACAGTACTTACGAATAAGATCTATTACTAAGGTCTAGATATACACAACTAATTACTTTTTAATTATTCTGTCATTTACACACTGCTATCTAATTGTATATTTGTAAGAAATGACGGAGTTTTTTCGTTGCAAAGAACAAGGCAATTTTGTTGTAATTGGAACACTGCGAAAAGCCATGACTGTACATGAAATACGGTAACATTGCAAATTATGTCTTTATTTCTGAAGTAGATGACAATCGATTCTTGCTTGCGGATATAATAAAAAAAATATTTTAAGTATACAAAGGTTATTTTAAAAGATAAATCACAGAGTTGGTCTGATACTATTTAACATATATCCATAATGTAGTGTATACCAGATACTTATTGAGCAACATTAAAGATTCCATAAATATTTACACTATTAGATGGAATGGCGTTTATCATAAAATTATTCATAGCTATGTTCCAGAAACTGAACACGAATCGTAATAATTTTGGAACAATATGGCGGCATACCGTTAACGTTTATTATTCATAAATCATACGACTGTCAATACGTAAACAAAGGCTAATTCTGGAAGCACGGTGTTTAGTAGTTTCCCGACAAATCCGTCGACTAAAGATAACATGGCCAGCTTGTTTCGAAATTCTAATAGGATATGCAGCTCGACGTGGGGTAGCGCATTTAGAAACGTTATTAGTACTGCAAATATTAAGTCTATAGTTTTAGTAGTTGCTATGTGCTTTCTAACTAAAATGTCTAATTACTTTCTTATTTACACACTTCGGTAATAGTGCCTTTGTTGCTTAAATTTAATCGACGGTGGAGGTGACGCACAGAAAGATTTCCCTTTTGTTTCCTGCAAAATCACACAACCACCATTTCCTTACAAGAAAAGGGAGGGAGGGAAAAGTCTACCCAAGTTAGTCCTTCAGAACATAGTCATCAGACGAAACGTGGACTTGCTTCTACTTTTTTTTACATCATAAGGTGACAAACGAGCGAGCGGACACCTGAAATAGCTGAAATAGCGAAGTGACCGTTGCCCATAGACATACGCAATTGCATATGCGTTGCCTACCTTTAATC